TGAGAGTCAGTTGCTGATCAATAATTCGCGATCTGACACGCTCGGGAGCCTCATATGCCTCCCTGGTAATATGGCTGCGCATCAGCCCACTGCACAGCGGAACAACCATGTGGTGAAATAGTGCTGTGCGAGTACGCCCACATGTCTGGAGCATGGTAAAGAAGGGACACATGCACTTCACGCCCACCCGATGGCCAAGGCACCCCAAACGCATAGACGGCCGTCTATGATTAACCGAGACAACGGAGCAACCGCCCGAGAACCGGTGTGGGCGTGAAAGAGACACTGGTTGGTTGATAGGTGATAGATCGTCAAATACGGTCAAAAGTGAATCATATAAATAGAAAGTTGTGATTGCATTAATACAGTTTTTCTGACCGCCTTCTAGTCTTCTGACTGTAACCCAGTAGCATCAGGTAAGGTGGAGATGCAACGAACGGTCCATTCGAATTTCCGATTGTGGCCGAGCAAATCGTACAGCAGAGCGGGCATCGTGTTGAAATCCTTGACAAACCTGCTGTAGTATGCTGCTTGTATAAGAAACTGCCTTAGAGACCGCTTTGAACTGGGAATAGCAAGTTAGTTTCTCTGGCAGTCGCCTAACCGCTCCGTGACACACTTTATGCCCCTACATTGTCACCGAATTCCGGGCGAGCTGTGTCTTGGCTCCATTTATTCGCAGACCAGCCTCCTGGATACGATTCAATACGGCACTGAAGTGAACTGCGTGCTCTGGTTCCGAATAGCTGCACACAACGATATCGCCCCTGTAATCGGCAACATTCTCTGCTCCCTTCGTTAAACGAATCATCAAACGCCGGAATATGAATGATGCCCCAGACAAACCAAACGGTTTCCGTTTAAATTGATATTGGGTTTCCTCAACTGTGAACGCCGTTTCCTCTCGGTCCTCCGACTTGATAGATAGTTGCAGGTATTCGGAACGCAGGTCGAACACCGTGAAATATGGGGAATACTGGAGGGAATCGAAAATCTCCGCAACCTAAGGTACAACAATCCGATTTACGGTCAGTTCATTCAAACGCCTGGAATTCACTCGAAACCAGGATTCTCCGTTCGCCTTCCTTACAAGCACAACTGGGGAGTTGTATGCACTGTTGGCTTCTTCGATCATGCCATTTTTCAACATCTCTTGAATTTCTTTATGGACCTCCTCCCGCAGATGGAGCGGCAGCGGACGAGGGCCATAAGGTCGAAAGCATTCGGACAAGGGGGAATTTCGTGTTCAGTCCACGGACAGAAGCCAAACGGATCTTCATTGCCCATGAACAGTTCGGAATATTCCTCGACCGCGGACTTGACTGATGGCACGTTTCAAGACGGAAGCTTTCAGACATGCAGCTCACTCATAGCAGTGCTTGGGTAATCTTCAAGCTTGACTGTGCCATACCTTATCATTAGTTTTCCCTGTTTCAGGTCGACCACGGAATCTACGCTCTTGAGAAAATCTGCCCCCAATATTGTCTGTTCTATGTCTGGGCCGATCAGGCATGCGCGCTGCACGGACTTGTCGCCTAGGCATACTGATTGCATTGAAAATCCGTCAATTTTCAGTCGATATCCACCCACCGCTCTCACGGCTAGCGCGCACGGTCTGCGTTCAGCTTGGTTCCCTCTCCGCTTCGGTGATAGCCCTGCTCCAGTATCAGTCAAGCACAGCTCCCTCTTCTCGTCTATCTCGATAACGGCCTGCATGGTAGCCTGAGTCACTGCGCTAATCACAACCCACTCGGGAAAGAAGGAGTAATTTAAAGTCTTATGTACAGGTGGTCGGATAGGATTACATTGATTCATCCAATGGCCAGACGTGCCACATTTGTAGCATCGCTTCGTTCAAACGTGCCTCCGCGATTCCATCTTGATGCCTTCAAGTTGTTCGGTGAATTGGTTCACTTTGTTCTTCAGGTCCTTCAGTGTTAAATCTTCCCTGTTGTCCTGCGACTGAAACATGGTCAGTGGTGTCTCGGCCAATTCCCGTGTCAGATGCACCAGGTGTTCCACACTCAACTGGCCAGTTGCTCTTGCCAACCACAACTGGGCACGCCTTCAACCGACTGGTCATACAGCAACTGCTGGCGCGATTCATCGACTTCTGCAGGTCGGCGGAGAACTCCGTCGGGTCACCTCCCGGTTCCATCCTGGCTGTCTTGAACCGCCTCATATCCTCCTAGCGGTCGGCCAGTGTTTCGCTGCAAGAGCTTTCTTTGCTGCGGCCAAGACCATCTTCCGAGGGCCTCTTCTGGCCGCATCCAGGGCCGATTTCGCCCGGCGTCCGAGAAGAGTATTCAACACTGCCAACCTACCCCGTTCGGTATCCAGTCCACCAGCTTCCGGAACCTCCTCGAAGTCCTCCAGGAAGGTCCGGACATCCCCATCCTCCAAGGGTTGTGACCACCGGATCTTCATTCTTACCCTGGTCACGGAACCAATGGAAAAAAAGAAGGCCTTCGCTGCGGAGCTAGTTATTGGAAAACACCAACTGAACAGTTACAGACTATTGGAAAGGGAAGCAAGACTCTCATGCATCTTGTTATTGAACATCCGATTTCTTCTCGAACGCGTCTTCCTGAACTTTCCTGGATATTCAATAACTATCACTCAATTTTAAACGAATGCTGCAAAGTGATTCCGTAACAAATCTCACTTTACAATGGACGCGAAGCTGAGTTACTAAAAGCATACTACTCGCATGTCTCATTAGTAGTATCCACTGTTGTACCATGTCCTGGTGATGAATTAGGTCGAGCGATCAGAGTATCAGCACTTAAAAGGTAAACAAAAAATGAGTGATCAAGAGTAACCTCCGTTCAAAGAGTGTTTCGGAGGTGTTCAGTCAACTTCTGCGCTGTATGCATATTTTTCTTGTCAAAGGTTTTGAGATACACACAAACAGGGGATTTAACAATGATGTAATCAACATTCTGGTGAAGCATGGGTGAACTCTTTCAGGAGCGTTAGAGCGAGCCAACGCTCGATCCGTAACGCGCAAGGTGCTGGCTGACTACATTTATTAGGTTGAATTCGATGACAAGAGACTTGTTTGGGTTTATTCCATAGTCTTCATTTATAATATCGTAGACCGTTTATTACTTACAAGGTAAACACAACCTGACACCCGTCATTTGTCCCACGACAGCGGAATTATGTAGGGAGTGTTTGGTAGCGTCGGAATTCAATGATACAATTGCCTTCATGTCGGTATTTCAGGATCCCCGTGGACTTGTTACAATAATAACCCAAACACCAAGCATAAAAATGGCACACGACAGTTTTTTAAGAGTCGGAAGCTGTATACCGTAGATTTCATTCTGAAAAAATGAAATAAAAAGAAAAAAAATTATCACGTGGAACACCTGTTTATCCTTATTTTTCCACATTGTTGCGGCGATATCAACAAAATTAGACGATTTTACTTATGAAAGTGCGGCAACTAGAAATCCGTGGGATCCATCGCCATCTGCTTCCAGTAGGAAACAGGAAGGAAATCTCTCAGGAATCTAGTGGCTGCTTTTCATGGTGCACTCTTTCGAGCTGATTGGCACTAGTAGCCGTTCTTCAGTTTAAACTATTGGGCTCATTTGGGTCTTGGGGGACGTACCAGTCACTCAGTATACGTTACTTAGAAATTCGAAAGTAGTGTCATTAAGACTTTCAAAAAGCCTACCGATTCAGCAGCTGATTCTGGTCTAAAGAGAGGTTTTGCTGTAAAACTGAAGTTAATTGATGCTGAAGTGTTGAGTACTTGCAGCTTTTTTGTTTTACTGTTTTTAAGGGTTCTTAGTGGTATGTATCTCACAATCTGAAAACTTTCGAGCACAAAACCTTGTAATTGGCAGTTATGCATTATTTATCACTCTACCACAAGTGTTTGATCAGAAGTGTGATAAACTTTCACAAACAGGGTATAGTGTACCTGCCCTTCGGTCACACGATGTCCACTTGATCCTCGATTGGTGGCTTGTCCGAAGGAAGGCTTGTTTTGAGGTGTTTTAAAGTGACTGTCAATAAAGTGCTGAACCTCTCAGAGAATAACTCCGAAAAAACGCGTCACATGCCCTGGACCCAAATTTATTAGCATCGCGCGACAGTTGCCTTACAAAAGTGAGCAGACCATCGTCTGGGTTAAATGCTACCTTTTGGGCTTATACTATACCGTATTCAGCTACGGCTTCGGCTGCTTACATAGAGTATCATCAAGGAATATTCATCTGGAAACTGTTAGTCTGCACCACAGTATTGTGAATAATGTTGGCGGTGCAAGGAGATGTATGAATTTTAAATTGAAATTTCAGTTTATAAATAAAGCCAGTCTGTACTGGAAAGTCGTGAAGCACCGTACAGCTGTTTCGCCCTTATTGAAAATCACCACCGTTGCGCATCTCGCGAAATTCCGTGGATTTGGATTCTGCGATTTAAGGATGAGTGGCGTCCTATCCTCTCTTAGTGCGAGTTAATCACAGTGGTGGACAGCCGTTCGTGGCCGAACGGTTAAGCGGTCAAACCACTAGCCGGGGAGTCATGGGTTCGAAATTCCCTGCAGTATATATATATATATAAAGTTCATCTTTCTCTTATTTATTCACGTGCAAGTCAAGATATAGTGAACTAGTATCGAGTCGCGCAGGTAAATGCAGAGGTTCAAACTGAAGCATTTACGTGGAACGAAATCACTGAAACTAAACAACTCTGCTTCACGTTGTAGTGGAACGTTGAAAGTATTGAAACGACTATGCATTTGGCCACTTGAGGGACTACACAGGATGAGCCATCCAGAGAGGAAAAACTCTGGCCGTAGCAAATACCCTTTGCTCCCGTCGCCTTAGTAAATTCGTACTTGTGTCACAATCACTGGCACTACTGTTGGCTTAACCCTATGTACCTGAAGGGAATGATTTTCAGACCAATGCCTATTGCCATCGAAAGTCATTTCAGCAAATACCTGAATCAGTTAAAAGGGTGCTTTCATGTTTATCTTGCAGACAGATACTGGGCCGAGCATTCTCTCTCCAGAATTAAATCCTGATTCTTCTTCTTCTGCTATACTGTTGACTCCTAAGACTTCAATCAAGGCCACGGAAGGTTTTTGGGTCAGACCTTCAGTGGCAAGCTTACAAAACAAACTCTGGCAAACAGGAAGAACGAGTCCCCATAGCTCCCATCTTCCAGGAACTAGAATCATTCCTGTCAAACTGCCAGTGCTCCGCACTTCCGATCCAATGGCGCAGCAGGTGGAAGAGGTTCCAGGACAGGAACTGTTGACGCCGACTCTACATCCTATTGAAATACATAAAGAGGGAAAGGCTAGTGGTGAAAATGTCGCTCAAAGGTATGAAACGATGTTTTTATTTACGCAGTTCAATGTTTATATAATTCTTTTGCGATTTGGGAGCGCCAGTTATCATCTGGAGAGGTCGTCTTAGGGCAGTGTCAGATAAAGTTAGCGTTTCCAAAGGAAGTGTCACTTACAAAGACGGTCAAGATGACTAAATAAATGACATTCGTTTAGGAAGTCACTGTAAACTAGGAACCTTGACAACGTAAAGTGCCGGTATGACCAGGCAGATAGGTAGACATTGACACAACGACATCCAACAATGTCGCGAAATGCAATTTCTAGCCTTTAGTTTGCCCTGGTTCATGCGTGGAAGATATCTGGAGTGGATGGGCCAATCAGTAGTGGTGAAGCGAATCGACGTACGCACACATTTGATGTACCACATTAGTCTTGGTCGGAGCCTAGTGTAGTGCCACGTGCAAGCCACTGGTGTCCATTTAGATCTGACGGAACGAGAATGATGTGGGAAAACAAACATAATTCTGGTTCCATCCGTCCGTTAGCCTAAGCACAACTGTGGAAACAAGTACCAGACACTTGTTTATTATTAGCTCTGGAAAATTCCCCAGCGTATCCGTTAGCGCCCGACAACGTGATGACGGATGACAAAGCGGCATTTCAGTAATAAAAAAGGTACTTATATGACTGCCCGTGTCAGCAAAGTCAGGTAGGCGCTGATTGGGAAATAGTGCAAATTCACCTCAATCAGTTTGTTTACGTTTAGCTTGTAGATAAGTGATATTAGTCTGGTTAATTGCAAAGCCCATTTTATTAAGGTATTTACGTCCGCATTCTGTACGGCTTCATACAATCATCGCCGCATCAGGAAGATCGAACTCGTCCTGAACGGCTAGCTGATTTTTGAGTCTCTCAGATAAACCTCAGAAATAAGTTACAATGAAGTTTGGAATTTTGCGCATTTTCACGTAAACGTCTTTCCCATATGCTATTAAGGGGAAATGAACGAGAAATCTTTACTTTATTCGAGATCGGATACACATCTATTTAAAAACCGGTGCATAAACTTCAAAGTATTGGTCGGAATATCCAGCGAGGTGAGATACGATGAAGGTGAGATATACGAAAAAGTATAACGCTTCATCGTTAATATCCCCTATACCACACACCGCAGCAAAAGGACTGTCAGGAGTCACCCGATAGGTTGCCTACTCACAGGTAATTGTGGAGCTGACGGAATTTGTAGCCACAGCATTGTCGTTTGACCAATCCTACTTCGTTCCCATACCATAGCTGTCGCTAATGTAGGCCAAAACAGTGAAACATCGGTCTCGAGGTGCATCACTACTGGAGCTTATCAGCAGTGCACGTCCTTGGAGGTACCAGGTTTTCAAATCCGAGCGTCTGGCATGGGAAGCAGTTTTGCCAATTCTTTGAACCCGAGGTTCTGAGAAGACTAGTTCCAAGGTGTCATAAGATTCCCACCGAAGACAAGAAACGATAAGGTGAATGGTTAACATTTTGTAGCTGTTTCAACTGACCGTATTGAACCGTTTCCATATGATAGGCACTTGATTCGAGCTGGGTCAATTCCCAAAGAAACTGGTAACCAGACTCACCCTGTCATATTTCAATGCTTAGGGAGACTGACTTGAGGGAATCCAATGCTTCTCTACTCCGTGCATAAAAGTACCTTCAAACACCAAACGGTAACGGTGTTATGCGATGGGTTCACAATAACCATCACTTGGTGGAGCAGAGGATGTTCTTAATGAAATTTCAGTGATAAAAGTTGCCTGTTTTTAAACATAACTGGCGTATTGGGTTCATGTTCACGACCATCCATTATTCTTATCGATGCTAGTAAGTGCATTGCGATGACTTTTATCAGCGGATTGTAGGTACCCTCAAGAGGCAAGCGCAGACTTCATACTTTTGTATGCTCGAAAAGGTCAACGTGAGACACCGAAAAATGGCAGATAAGCATGACAAAATTGCAGGGCTGCCCTGGGACACAGTCCCATCGAGAGTGATGTTTCTTGCTTCGTTACCTCTACTTCACTCGAAAAAAGCTGCAACTCACTTTTCTGAACCTTCTCCTGGGTGACTGTGCAGCACTATAGTGCAGCAGACAGCGATGAAAATTGTTGCTCAATCCATTGACTGCAGTTGGAAATGGTCGTGCCACTGTGGTCCTTGAGTGTTTCGCCCACAGGCATTTTCCGGAGACCAGCTTTCAAGCATCACTGGCGTTCTGCGCCTCTTCCATATCCTTGGCCTTTCCTGTTCATCAGGCTTCACAGTCGGGGCGCAAGCTAAGTTTTACTTGATATCTGATTACTCGTTCGGTTGAATAATATTGGAGACAGGCGGGAACATTTCTAGTAGTGTCACTGTTCTGTCTGATATTCTGGTAGAACTGTCTAATGATCAAAATCCCCCTTCATTGTGCAAAGACGGTACGACCTCGTTCCAGTGCGAATAGACAGCTGACACTGGGGCCTTTAGAGGAGAGTCCGGAAGATTTGGTTCCTTGGTTAGCACGCTGTAGGGCATACCGTGTGACCGGATTAATTCGTTCATTCTGAAAGTTAATACCGCCGCAAAACATTATTGGATCAGCACACACCTGAAGCAATTGTTGCCCGCATGGACCGAGTTCAATCCAGCTGGTCCACCCAGTTGAGTTTTCGATGCGCTAAGTCTGACCACTTTTGCCCTCAGATCTCCGGCAACCGCTAATATACCTGAGCTTTGGCCCGCAGTAGAAAAACTTTCAGCTTCAACATCCTTCCGTTGCCCAGCTACCGTGCCACCCGAAGAAAGCTCCAGGGCTGAGATACTGCCAGGTTGCATAAGCCTAGACAGGAACAGTCGAGATGCAGAGGTTCGGTTTGAACCATGAACCTTCCGGTAAGTAAGCCCCTGTTATGACTTGTCTTCGATGGTATCAGAGCTGCAGTTGGTAGGAGCGTAAGCGAACAGGATAAACAGATAACGGTCGATTTCCAGTTGGTGAAATTTCTGCATAGTAGCTACCTGACAGGGCATCCGGTCAAGCAAGGATCTTTAAATCCGATGATTTAGGACGGTGCAGACCCATGCACAATCTATTGTAACTGTTTCTGCAACCCCAGAGGTGCGCATAAGGAGACTGGTGGCAAAACAGTTAGCTCAATAAATGTGCTTAAATCTTGAAATTTTTCTGATAAGCAACACAAGTGAACTCCAAAAACATCAGCATGCGAGTAGAATAGCTTGTTTTTCCGCTTCCTTTGGAGTACAAAAATTGAGGTTTTGAGGATTCAAGATTGATTTCGGGATGCCTGAAGCTGTCAGCGTCGGCTGAATAATAAATCATCATCGCCGTATGCCACGACCAAGACCGATGCAAGATGAACGGGGCCGTCAGTCCTAATGTATGGACCTACAAGGGGAGTATCATCAATAGGGTGGAAGAAAGGAGAAAGTGCGTGAAAGACAAAGAAGGCGTCAGCAGTGGCTTACATTCGTCTACCTGCCCTGCTGTGTGCAGCAAGTAAGGCGACTTTACTGAAGACCTCACGCAATGATTGATTTGGCACGACGATATTTTTGTTGTAGGAATCATTGCTGTAATAAGGCAAGGATATTTTCAGGACGTCCAAAACTTGAGGGGTACTGAATCAGAGCCTTCTGTTCAAAAGTGTGACCACAAGGCATTGGTGTTTAGTGGGAAAGCTCTTTTGAACGAGTTGCCACAAATGCTCCTACCTTCAGCCTAGTCACAGATCTGGCCGTTGACCAACCTGATGTGATTCTCAGGGTGTCACACGGACACCATTAGCATAGTTCGATGGGTCATGAGGTACGCAAGCCGTCATGAAATGATAAGCTCTGGTGTCTTCGCGATGGCCGATGATTTTTAGTCAGATGTGGATCAGGACAGGGATTCGGCCAGTTTGTCTGTTTCATGCGAAGCGACTGTATTCAGCTGTCGACAGGGTTAACTGTGACAGTTCTTCTTACTCGTAATATTGAGTGACAACAATAGTTACTCTAGTATTTGGATGTAAACAGTAGTCTTGAGTATCCTTCAGTATTGCAGTACCACAAGTCACAATGACTAAGACATCAAAACCGACAGTTCATGACTGAGACTGACCAGTCTCTACCCTTATACTTCCACGTACCGCTTTAGTCGATGACAAATTGGCTGTAATCGCGATGGCTTTGTTCCATTGGTTTACACAGGGTGAAGTGGGGTTTTCGTCAAAGATAAGTGGCTCTAAACCCATGACAGTTCGCGTCAGATATGTTTATTTTATTTTATCCCACCCTCGAGGCTCCAGAGAATTTCCCTTAACATGGTTCGGTTTGTTCTTGGTTAAATTTGAACCTATATTATTTTGCGAAATGAACAGCACTGATATTTTGTCAGCTCTCAATACCGATAAGAAAAGGCAGTAAATTAAAAGCTGCCCGTTGCTTCGTCACGCAAAGACCGACCAACTTGCATGGGTTATTTCATTCCGATTGAAACAATGAGGTAGTGTACAGAGGTCTACATTCTGCCTCATGGACCGTTAGTTAAAACATTACTTAGAACTCGTTATCCGGTGTGTAGATGCTTTAGGGATGAATGGCTGTAATACACAATGAATATTGTTACCGGCGAGATATGATTCTCATCTTCCCTAATATGTCACGTCGAACCACTTTAGGGTGCCACATGTTTTGAGGTTGTACCAGTCACCTGTTAACCGAAGTTGTCCCATTCCAACCGCACGCAAGTTAGACAGAATGGAGAATTTCATTGCCCCTATTATTTAGTCAAAAGTCATGAGACTGATGATTGAGGTTAGAAAAAAATACCTAAAACAGTGATTGGTACGCAGAAGTAAGGTCGTAAAATGTAATATTCCTTAGAAAAAGCTAGATACTGAATAACATTCGCTATTCTGTCCGGAATTCGTTGAACTAGACAGTCTTGACCTGAGTGCACGTATGCTCAGTGATCACGTGTTATGAAAGTTCTCAGTTGGAGACATTGTTGCTTTTTAAGACTTTTCCTATTGGGATGGCTTACTTATTACCGAGTTTTCCGGTGATGAACTGTTTGTAAAAGGAAAAACGCTTCTCATGGGAGGATCCCTGTGGCCCATCCTACTCGATAAAACACTGGCGCACGTCAGAAAGAGCCTTCACGGAATGACTCCGTTTCATGATAGCTAACAAATTAGCTGTTTTCGCAAAACTTGCTTTAGTCATAGTAGTACAGAACGAGATCTAACATACTTCCCGCCATGACAGTTGCACCATGTAAGGATCCCAAACGTATGCCCTGTGGAAAATGGAGTAATTGTGGGGCTATGTGATTGACTGTTGCACGACGTTGTGTTCATCTGTATGTGACGGTACTTGTCAATTCACTGAAGGATATTTTAGATCACAAATGGAAATGGTTAATAGTTGGGTAAGATCCACTCATTTGCAACAAACTAGAAGCCTTCCGGAAACAGCGGAAGACGGTCAGTTTGGAGTTCTCTGAGTAGTAAGCTTTGAAGAACGGAGGAAAAATTCCCTACCACAAAGAAAATTAGACTGTTTAGCCGTCAATCTACAACACAGTTCCCTATGCTCACAATGAATGGAATCCTGCGTTCACTGGTTGACCTCGTGCCTGTTCTTTGGAGTGAAGCTCTAGTTTCAGAGGCTGCTGTCACTGGCAAATTTTTCACTGACGATCCTGAGAGGCATGGTTGCAGGGTAGAATGTTTGCCATTCACTGGTAGTGCGCACGGTACGAGTGTTAATGGTTAGGTCCGTTTCGAATGGGACACTGAACGTTGTCTAACAATAGGATGTTTCCATTCAATTCCAATTGCTTTGCAAAACAAGTTTTTAATAGACGGTTTTACATGGGCCCGTGTTTGCCGCACTTATCCTCGGCCTAGCTGATGTGGCTTATCCACGAAGGTCACAAGCATCCTTGAGTGTAGGTGGACCACCTTCACCTGATAGTCGACAGTGCATCACCCTATGCCGGTTCAGTAAAGAATCATTCACTTTCCCTGAACGACGCACCAAGCTTGCGCAGTCCAGACTACTACCCAACACAACCCAGCTAACACAATATCCATGGATTTACTGATAATCACAATGAGATGTGCATGAGTGCATATATGCTTATTCAACAGTGCAACACGGCTCAGTAGTTAGAGCGCTAATTTACAGGCCGAAAGGTCCATGTTTCGAACCCGACCTCTACATCCCGATTTCTGTCTAGGCTTGGGCAACCTGGCAGTATCTCAGCCCTCGTACAGCCTTCGGGTGGCATGGCAGCTAGGCACTGAAAGGTTGTTACAGCTGAACAAATGCCCACTGGACTGAGACAACAGATACCTCGATGTCGCAAGACCACTTCCTATACGCCATATCTGCATTCTGGTACGGTTAAAAAACTCTAATAAGGATAATGGGGTTTGCATCCTTTGTTAATCTGCAGATTTAAATAATATTGATGCTAACGGGAATCTGTACACTTACTTGGACTCAACTATGTAATCAGCGTAAACGCATTCATCGCATCTGCGTCACCTTCCCAGTTTCGTGTCAATATAAACGCTCATCACGTGGAACTGCAAGGCCTAACCTCATCATGATTCTCTTCGACAGTAATATGTAGTCGAAATGAAGGCGAGGATTGAGTGTTCCCTGTGATGTGCATTCCATGGACATTTGGTCATTTATGTCACCCAAAGATATTAGCACACTAAAAACGAATTAGTGCAAATGATCCTAGCCGACGGCATTGCGATAAGCAAATATTTGCCGTTGAAACACTAACTGTAATTTCGAAAATCATTGAATCGGATACATCGCCACCCTCCGCTGGTTCTGTTAAGTAAGGTACATCAGTGGCTCGGAGTTCTGATTAAAGCGCAGACACAATTGAGACGTTTCCGCGCAGTGATGCCTTGAAGTGCATGACAATCACAAACATCTTAACTCGTATGTTTGAAATAGTAGGATTTTGACTAGCTTACCAAGCAAATATGCTGCGTACTGAAAAACGCAACCCACTGGGTGCTTCGTCCTGGTTGGGGCCCATCAGGTGGATGTAGCGATGCGATTGCTTGACCGTCACGCCCAAAGTTTACAAGCTTAACCACGGCGGTTGTCGACAAGTGTGAAGTTAATAGTAAACTTAGCCATTTAGTAGTCAGATCCACGGTAAATTTAGACCGTGCAAAATCCACTTGAGCTGACCATGTGCATTCACCATAAGCAAAAAACAAGGGCCGCTCACAGTCGTCTTCTCCATACTTAAGATGTGAATCCCAGGGTCCAGTTGTCCCCACAGATATACAGTTAGATAAAGTCGATCTTAGAGTGGACAATCTGCAATGCATCACCTATATCGTTCCGACTGACGTGCTCATGAATAGCTCATTCGAAATATCCTGACGAATAATGACTATACTGAATAGCTTCTGTTTTTCTATGGGAGTTAGGTCGAACAGTGAGTCCAATCAAACGAAGTCGTTCCACTCCGCGCGAGGTGCGCTTGGAAACAACAACACTACAATTTACGACTCAATGCACAACATTCCCAAATCCGCCAATTCTGTAGCTTTTCGCACATCACACCCACCTTATGATCAGCATCTTGGTCCGTTTCTTCCTGCTCTTCCGAAGCCTGGAGATCCCGGAAATGCCACCAGGGCAAGAAAAGAACGGGAGTTGCAGCGCAGACGACTGGGTCGCGCCCCAGATCTATTTCCTTCCTGAATGCTGAATCCGCTGAAAATCATCATCCACATGTTTATATGCACCTAAAACACTTGTTCAGTATGTATGGTCTCACTGCACTTTTTCCTTGCACCAACCACGTCAGCCTCAACTCAGTGAGTGTCAAATACCGCCGAAAACTAGCACAAACTCTTTAATGTAGGATAACTCAGCCCTGTCTCAATCCGTACATTTTGCGCCACATGGCTATTTTGATTGAGATGACGATTTCCACGACTACCATCGACCCAGGCACCCCTTACAGTGATTTCTGGATGAACAGTTCATTTGCTTCCGTTTCCAACCAGAGATTCCATTTACCCTTATTTTATTATGTTACTTCTATCGCATAGGGTCACTTCTAAGTAAACTTTATTTGATAATTCCTCAAACAAAGTTAATTAAACAAGAACGAGTGCCCGTAGTAAGCCGATCATCACAAGGTTGGTCTAGTAGACACATTCCGAATATACCCCCGCAATCCTAACTTAACAGGTTCCTTCCTGATTCGACTTCCAGAGTTACGGCAGTTCGTGTAAATGGCAGCAGAATGACATAAGATGAAGAGTAGGAAAAATGACGAAATCTACGTTGTCTTGCGAGACTTTCTCCCATCTAAACATAAGCATGTGCCCTTACCCTACAGTGGACAGCTCAACGGTCTGACCTGCATGGCCATGCGTTGAAGTGTTTTTAAGGACTCCAACCAAACCCAACTACTCGATGCCCTATACAGTGCACTGCGGAAAGCTGGTTCAGACTAAGGGCTCCAATAGTAGGCAGTGGACTCCTCATAATGTTACTTAGGCCGGACGCGCACGGGACAACGTAGAAATTTCGGTGGCATGCGGTTACCTTCACTAGCGGTCGATTGTGACGAAGATTACAACGGAATGTAGATTCAAAGCTAGGTTTTTCTACCCCTTGTTTGAACAATGCAGGTAGTATGCCAGACAGGGAATATTCAATTGAGATTCCATCTTGTAAGTGAGGTTAGTCTATGCTGAAAAGCGGAGAAGCACCGTAGAGCTGTTTCATCCCTACTGGGACTCATCAGTAGTGCGCAACTGAAGACTAAGAAAACACCGCTGACCCTGCAGACTTCGTGCCCCTACAGGAAACACTATCATAAAGAGAATGATATCATATTCCAAGGAGACAGAAAGGGCAAAACACTTCGAAACAGTTCATGCCTTCGGTATGACGGAGTGCCAAAACTAAACCTCACCCTTGATGTTAAGCTAAGAAGGAATTGAAAACAGAACAGGATAAGTAGAGTGTTCCTGTGTACTGGTGGAGGTGAACAATAAAATAGATGGCGGCAGAGATCAAGTGTATCAATCAATTCGTGCGTGTGCAAGTTGCGCTGGGAGCTCCGACTGGAAGGGTTCCGAGGATATCCCCCCATTTGGAGGCAGGCCGATGGAAGAAACAGAATCGGCGACTAAAGTGTGTGATTCAGACGTGAATCCATGACGATCAACAGGAACACTCGAATGTGTGGTGACAACGACTCCTACGTTAGTCTCCGCCGAGGGCTCCGCAGAAATAACTGCATTTCCCACATGCACAGAAAGGTCAACTCTTTCTGTATGCGAGTTGGTTTGAGCACCCCCCGTAGGTAGATCATGTGACACAAGTACAGGTGGTTCATTGTCATCTCTGTCAGGAGGAAACATAGCAGATGGCCGTTGTGAGGGCTCAGGAACGGGAACAGAGACCGTATCTTTTCTGCTGCGGAAAAGATCGTTCAGAATCTTGTCCATGTTTGCAACACGCGGTTGGCGAGGTGGGTGTCGGCCAGGCCCCAATACTTTGCGTAGGGGTCGTGTGACACCAACGCCTGCAGATGAGAAGAACGGCTGGTTGGAACTTTCATCAAAGTCGAATTCAGCCAACTTTGCAGCCGCTGACTGAGATTCCAATGAGTCGGTCTTGCAAGTGTTGGTATATGATGTGGGAACAGATGGTTCCGGTTTCTCTGAAACATACGGCAGGTAGTAACATATAGTTGGAACGTAAGAAAAACCCAAGGGTGATGGTAAAACTGATCAATCCGCAGACCAACAAGTTTACGAACGCAATTGGTGTTAACGCTTATATCGGACGGACCTACTGCATACGATGTTTGTCGACCGCATTTGCAATGCAAAGTTTGCCACATGGTTCAGGTAGGCCGACATCGATGACACCGAGACATTTTAGAACGGCAAAACTTAGAATTCAAACGATATTGACTAGCAAACCGAAAAGACGGCAAAATCGCCGAAACTTGTCCGGTAATCTCATTCAATTGTATGAACAGCATAACATTAATAGGGAGAAACGAGTTACCCAACAGATAAGCTTCATAAAGTTTAAGACTACCAGCTCCAAATTTTCCATTGAAAGGGTGTGAAGCACTAATGGATATGGATTTTAGTATTATTTGGCGACCGTAAATAGTTTGCCAAAAATCCTTCCACGAGAAAGACTTGTTGATTGTGGGGTAAAGAAAGATGGGTCCGAGTCTCTTCAACTCTGAACAAAACCAGCCAGATCTCATAGCACTAACTGCCGTCACGTGGAATTTGCGGGCAATTTTGTTGACGCATAACTTCTGGAAGATAGGGCAGTTACCAATTTTCACCTGTTTAAACAAAACCTTACCTTCGATTAATTCTAGCTGAGCAGCGGGTAAATAGTTAGGAGATTTGGGACAAACTAATTATGTGTCCACAATTAAAGATGTTTAATTCATTCATGGATACGTTTGGCATGTGTGTGATTAGGAGATATCATAAAAACATTCCAAGGGAAAACACAATTAAGCAGGATTTAATCGATGAAAATTTAAACCATCACAGATGACCTGAATCGAGAGCTAAATTAGCCAGGTCAACACAACGGTCTCTATTAGTAAGTTTATCTCGAGTAGATTTCCTTCCCTGAGGAGCGATTCTGTTTAGATGGGGCGGTCTTTACCATTGAATTGGTGAAAGAGATGAACTCTTCAAAAAAAGCGGCAAAATTTGGACAATATTGGCCGTGCTACACGTCAAGGGGGACAGTTCTTTAGAAACCAAGAAAGTAATATCTCAATCTACCAGAAAATGGGATTATCCCATGACTTGTATGTTGCCCTGGTGCGTGGTATCAATGATGATCACACCAGCTGTTTTCAAGTTGAAGCCTTTATGCTGAATCGCCGAGTGACAACTCATTTGCATGGCCTCCAAAATGCGCTGGCTTAGACTGTTGGACGATAAGGTCTAGAGAAATGAAATGCGACCATTCAACTCAGATGTCAGTGGGCCTGTCACACTAACTTGAGGCTTTTAAACACAGCTGTCGGGTTTACAGTAGTGCCGGATGATGGGGAGAGTACGGGACCTTCCACACGCTGTTCCTTAAAACTGCTTACGTCAAGCATACCTGTCTAAGATCAACGAGAAACACAATCGTCCAGCTGTAACACCCTTTCGGTGCCTAGCTGCGATGCCGAAGGTTGCACAAGAGCTGAGATACTGCCGGGTTGCCCAAGCCTGGATAGAAATCAAGTTACATAGCTTGGGTTCGAACCACGGACCTTTCAGTCAGTAAATTCACGCGAAAAACTAACTAGAGTAGAGGCCAATAACGTTCGACTGTTCAAATTTGGAGTATGTCATATCTTATGATTCCCGACCTTGACGTCGTGGTCGGGCTTGAGTGCTGCAAAGATCCTGCGGGCTACACTGGCTGGAACTTCGTTCCACAAGGTACAACCATGCCAGGAAGGCCGAAGGGGAGCAGCGAGACCCCGCACTACGAGCAGTCGTGGTACGGGGCGGTCTGGGGGTAAAGTCGTACTGTCCGCTGCGACAGTGAAGACAGTAAGGTGTTTCCCCCAGGCGACCAGCATGTCCATATTTATGGAAGCAGCGATGCTGCCTTCCCCCGAGGAAGGACGGGTTAGAAAAGGTCGGCCCCAAAAACCGCACA